GAGAGAGAGAGAGAGAGAGAGAGAGAGAGAGAGAGAGAGAGAGAGAGAGAAGAAAGTCTAGATAGGAAGCTCTTGAGGAGAGTCCTGAAAAGTTGTGATAAAGATGCTGAAGTGTAGCTCTTCACAGTTGTTGACTTCTGTCGGGGTGATGGGGAAGGACTCCGGCATCTTTAAGGGGCTGACCCCGGGGAGTTTTACCATGCTCTAATGAATATGGGCAGCACCAATTGTACTTGGTGTATTTGGGGGGTAGAGCATAAGGTGGGAGGTTGAATCTGGGAGGAATGGGAAATGAGCGTGACCAGGATGTATCAAATCCCCAAATAATCAGTAAAAATATTATGTTGGGAAAAAACTCTATTATAAAAAACAGAAAAGAATTTTATGAAATCTTAATTAATGTCTGTATATACATGTCGATGAGCAAGTCTGTAAATGGGAAAAATACAGAAAAGGATTCCAATGTAATTTTGTGTCACTTTGCATCTGAAATCTTATTCATTTGAAGGACCACATGAAAGTAATGAACATAAGAAAACAGAGAGTTGATAGGCCATGCTTCACACTAGAAACCTCTGGCAAGTGAGAAACTACAAGGACATAATTAGCCACGTAGTGACACGCGCTTTCAGTTGCTAATCAATTTATGTCCTGGTGCTACAGCTTTATTGAGATACAAGTGTTGAAGTCTGGTCTCAACAAGACAGCAAATTCCATATCAATGAAACAAAAAGTCTGGGTGTAGTCACAAATGCCTTAAATCTAGCAGACGGGCAGTTGTGAGTTTGAGGCCTACGTAGTCTACAACATGAGTTCCAGGCTGGCCAGGACTAGGTGGTAAGACTCTGCCTATAAAAAGAATGATCAGCCAAACATTCATGCATATGCATACCCTTTGTCACTTTTAAGCCATACAATCTGGGGGAAATGAGAATGTAAAGAGTGCCAAAGTTGTCTTCATTGAACTTGGAAGACCCTTCTGGCACCAAAAATTTGACAAAGGTAAGAAAAGCAATGAAGGAAAATACAAATCCATAGTTCACCTGGCTTTATTATCAAACATTTATCATGAAATCTTACAAATATAAGGATTATGTTATTAGAAAAAGATTTTAGCTTTACATCATTGGACATCAAATTATTTACAAAAATTCAGGCTGTTGGTAAATCTCAGTTGTCAACTTGATCAGCTCTAGAATAACCTATATGATGGATGATCTTCCCGGCAAACCTGTCGGGGGATATTTTTGCTATATTAATTATGGTGGGAATGTATACCCAGCATAGATGGTGCCTTGACCTGGGCTAGAGTTCAGGGCCGCATACAAAGAAGAAAACTGATTAAGGCTGTCGTTGTTCTTTGCTTCCTGACTCTGGATACAGTGTTACAAGCTGCTTCAAGCTCTCATTGTCTTGACTTCCTCTTGTGGTTTGAATCAGGAGTTTTCCCCATGGGATAATGTATTTGAACACTTAGTTGGTGGTGCTGTTTCATGTTATGGAGTCTGTTGGAGAATGTGTGTCACCGGTGGTGGGCCACAAGAGTTTATGGTCTCACCCCACTTTCAGTTCTCACTCTCTGCCTTATGTATGCAGTTGAGATGTGATCTTCGGATTCCTGCTTTTGGTGCTATGCCTTTCCACCAGTATGAAAATCTGTCCTCTAGAATAATAAGCCAAAATAAACTCTTCCTTAAGTTTCCTTTGGTCATGGTATTTTATCACTGCAACTGAAAAGTAACTAATATAGAAGTTGGAGCCAAGAAGTGAGATTGTTGCTGCAAAGAACCTGGAAATGTTGTTTATTTGGAGGAATGTGGAAGACTCTAAGATAGAGCTAGGGAAGCATGTGACTACTGTAAGCAGACATTAACAGGCTGTTCTAGTAGGAGTCAAGAAGAAAACAGTGCTGAGGGTAGAGGCCTGCCCGGATCATGGGGTTTCAGGGGCAAGTAAGACTGTTAGCACTGGACTAGGGTCCATTTATGTGCTGCTTTGGCACAGAATCTGCTGCCTTCCGCCTGTGCCCTAAGAACTTGCCTGCAGCAAAATTGAACAAGTAACAGATTTATTTCTTTGCTGTAGGAAATTTCAAGACTACATACCATTGAATCTGTAGTATGGTTATTACTGATAATTCTTATGTAGGTCTTTATCATAAAAGAAACAAAAATAGTTTTGGGAGCAGAGGAGCACTAAGAAGCTCAATGTTACAGCCAGGGCATGTGGTGAAAGAGAGGCTGTAATTGTTAAGAATATTAGTGCTGTTACTGGGGAGAGCTCTTGTGCTCTGCACTGGAACAACTGGATGAGTACCATCTGGACAAGACACCACCCAGGTAAGCTTTGAACGTGTGGAAAAAGTAGAGCTGGGAAGTGTCCTGCTCCTGGAAAACAACAGCACACCAACGCCAATGCTAATTGTGTTCTGAGGGAGCAAGTGCTGGACCCAAGTGGCACTGTTTTCTCCTCACAGTTCTGGCCTTAGAAGAATGAAAGATGTAAGAGGAAGAGGATCATGGATTCGTCTTCTGTGGTTTCTGATAGCCACCGAGGCCAAGTAATGTGTGGGAGGGCTGGTATCCCTGACTCTTAAATGAAGCCACAAAAGTGAAGTCCAAGTTTCAGTGAAGACCCCAAGCTGTTGGAGATGGATTCCAGAGCCACAAGACGTCTGTAAAGAGCTGCATACAGGGAGTAGAACCAGCTTAAGAGAGAAATGTGTTACTGTAATGAGTCTTTCTCTGTCCTGCCAGCCAGCTCCCAGACAATGACATGGAGACTTATTAATTATGAAAGCTTGGCCTTTAGCTTAGGCTTGTTTTTAACTAGTTTTTACAACTTAAATTAACTCATTTTTATTAATGTGTGTTCTACCATGTGGCTTTACCTCTAACCCATTTTGTACTTCTGACTCGTTCCATGTCTGGCTGGCATCTGTCCACCTTGATTCTTCCTCTTGCTTTCAATCCTCAAAATCCCACCTATACCTGCTGCCTAGCTATTGGCTGTTCAGCTTTTTATAACACCAATCAGAACAATACACCTTCACACAGTGTACAAATACCCCACATTTCCCCCTTTTTGTATAAATAAAAAGGAATGTTTTAACTCTAACATAGTACAACTATATACAATAAGAAAAGTTATCAGGTAAGAATTACATTTACAATGTCCAGTTCATTTGTATTTGGCATATATGGAGAAAATACTCTATTATCCATCCTATCTTAGTGAGTCCAAAGTTTTGTATCTGATTTATTTTTTATCAAAACTGAGGAAAACTGTAACTATAACTATCTAATCTTCAACCCCATCAGAGACTCAAGAAGGATATATCATCTGATTAAACAGGAAGTGCAGAGCAAGCAACTTCCAAAACTAAGAAATGACAGAAACATCTGGCTGCCTGGACAGTCGCCCCAAGGTTCCTCTGTAACATCAGGGCATCCATCTTTGGCCAACATGCCTAAAATATCTGACAGACTTTTATATCTGACAGACTTTTCTATGAGACAAGAATTTTAAAGGACTGTCCTACCTTGTCTTGACAAAGTTTGTTGATCACCTTTCATGTCCCATTCATCCAACTTGG